GAGGGGGTGAGGGGAGGGCAGAGGTAAGGGGAAAAAATGAGAATCAAGACTTGTCATGTAGAGGTACAAGATCCCAACAATGAATGTAACTGTACTGTATCCCTAAAATGTACCAATAAACTCAATTAAAGCGGAAAAAAAAATAGTTTTAGAAGCTACAACATAATATTTCCCAATACAACAAAATCACTTTCTTTTCCAGTAGGGACTTTCAGGAATAACTGCATGAATACTAATTTTCTGTCTTGAATTATGCTTATATTTATTTATTTATTTTTATTTTCTTGACACCGGGGATTGAACTCAGGTCCTTGCGCTTGCAAGGCAGGCCGCCGAACAGCTGAGCTAAATCCCCGGCCCCGAGATTTATTTTTCCTTACTTGAAAAATCACTTAATGTTGGTCTTCACCCATTGAATATACTTTTTATTAACTGTATTTATTTTCCAGACATTTTAAGCCCCCAGAAAAACAGAACAGAGCTGCAGAGTTGTTACATTAGCCGTATCCCCTTCCCCCACGCCCCACTCCAACCACGTCTCGCTTCTCGGTGGCTTCTAAATTGTGTATTTGTTCTAATTTGTAAATTCTACTTGTTCATTGCTAGCACACTGGATTTAAATTTTGTTGAATAACTAAAAGATACTAACTTCATGAGGCATAGCTTTTAAAAAATCAAAGCTTAAGAAAAATATGTGAAAAGGGAAAACATTGAAACAATGTAAACAGGGAAGGGAGGAGGGAGTGAAGGGAGGGCTGGAGAATGGGGCGAAATGAGAACCAAGACCTGTCCTGTAAAGGTACAGGATCCCAGTGATGAATGTAACTGTACTGTCTACCTAAAATGTGCCAATAAATTTAATAAAAAGAAATAAAAATAACCAAAAAACAAAATGGTCTTAGCTTTGATGTGGTAATAAATTTGAATTACAGAAAGTGGTTTTGATAGAAAGACTTAAAATTTTTGACAGGTAACTATGATTAAACAGAAAATTTAGTATATGAAGTTACAGAATTTACAGCCTCACCTGTTTAATAACTGAATTGGACAGAATTAACTATGATTCTAGAAATAGAGAACAGAATATACAAGATCCTTTCCTATAGTTGCTCAAAAAGTATATTCAGGAAGGAAAACTGTGCATTTTTTCTCTTAGGTAGAACAAAAATTCTGTATTCTTATGGTTTTTCTCTTACTGTATTTAATCATTTGATACAGATAAATTTCTGTAATGAAAAGCTTAAAATTTCTGCTTCAGTAGAGAAATCTATAAAAAGAAATAAGCTTATCCAAAGATAGCAGGAGAAACAGAAGAGGTTGGCTCTTTTTTTGGGGGGTATGGCTTATAGACAGACCTCAGAGACTTGACTACGAAACTTCTAATTATGACTTTAACCTACAGAATCCTGGAGGTTAGCTTTTCTTTTTAAAGTGACAGTTTATTGCTTATTTTGACATTTTTACCAAACATTTAAAATGCAAATGGACATTGAAAAATGGTGGGTTTTAAGTAATACTTTACCAGAGATTTTTCCCTGCAAAATATGATATATTATTCATAGACATTTTAATCCATGTAAAATAATAATATAGTATCTTAGTAAACTAGGTTTTCAACTTTGGGTTAGTAATAGCAAATAAGCATTCAGAACATAAAAGTGATTTGGTGATTCCAACACACCTTGTTTAGTCCCCTGATAGCCAGTTCACATATGAACATTTCTTTAGAGAAGATTAAAAAAGTGATAGGATTGCAGTTGCTCATGAGATTTGTAGTAAGAAAGCTTATGGAAATCCTGTATCTGCATAGTAGTTCTCTCATATTCAAATTACATATAATAAATTGATTTTCAAATGACAATGGTGAATCATATGCAATAAATTATGGGGAATACTATTTTTTCTTTAGTATTCAAGAAAAATTATTATCTTATCAAAAATGAATGAAATGTATTGTGTGACAGGTACTTCCTTTATTATAATTTACACATTCAAATCTAGAGATACATGCATATATTGTTTTAACAGCAATTTAAAAAATGAGGAGTCAGAGGGGAAATCTTGGGTAGTGGTCTTAATCAAATGAACATCCTTTTATATGTATTCTAAATATAGTTCAGACAGAGCCAGTACTTGGTTGCCTTGGAAAATGTTGCTATAGTTACAAATGGATGAGTAGAAAGTAAACTTTCATTTGTTTTAGGTACACAGTTTTTCTGAAGTTAACCTTTGACTTCAACATAACAAGGATAAGAGTCCATTTCTTTTACTCTGTGTACACAATTTTCCTATGGTCAATTTTTAACCTTAATATAAACAGAATGAGGCAATTTTTAAAAAGTATTGTCTACATGTGTTCTTTTGTTGGATTCAGAATGACAGATGCCAAAAATATAAAAAATAAAATTTCCCATTGATGAAGAAACTATAGTTTGTTAGTACTTCAAACTGCAGGTAGTTATAGCCACACCTTACATATTATTAAAGTTCTTGACCATTACACAGAATTTCACCTTAAAAATCATTAAGGAAACAAAGTTTTTGTAAATAGGAAAGGGTAGATAAGGTAAAGGGAGGACAGGGTATGGGGAAAAAGTGAGAACCAAGTCCTGTCATGTAAAGGTATAAGATCCCAATGATGAATGTAACTGTACTGTGTACCTAAAAAGTACCAATAAACTCAATAAGAAAACTTAATCCAAAAAAATCATCAGGGAATAAAATTTGCAAAGAGTCAAATTTTAAAATTCTACATTAGCACTGGGGGGCAGGTGGTGGTGCATGCCTGTAATCCCAGAACTCGGGAGGCTGAGGCAGGAGGATCGCTGTGAGTTCAAAACCAGCCTGGGCCACATAGTGAGTTCCAGGTCAGTCTCACTACACAGTGAGACCCTGTCCCAAAAAATCAAAACCAAAAACAAAAAAATTCTACATTAGCTCATCACATTAACCAATTATGCTTTGTGTCCTCTGATTTGAAGCTACACGGGACACCAATTGTTTCATTCATATGTATATTTAGCTATGCATTTTCAAGATATTTATTCCTTGAATATGGATTGCAATGTTCATTTTTGAAATGAATTTGGAGGTATAAAATTGTTGGTTAGAATATATTTTATTGAACAGCTGATACTGGTAATTAAAAACTGAAAGAAGCAGCAAGGAGAAATATAAAATAAAGGGTATTAGAATTTACTGCAAGAGAGAATCACTATAAAGTTAAATAAAATCCCCAAAATATATCTTTAATGATTTGTCACTCAAGAGTCTAAAATCCATGATGAAAACAACAAAAAGCACTTATTTTTTCCTCCAAAAGTAAGCCCATAGTGTGCAACATTTGGATATAGTAGAGATTGTTCAGCAAGCTCATCCGAGCTGTTGACTGCTATGGTACAACCTGTTTCTATTTTTAGCACTTCTCAGAATCCATTTTCATAAATAACTAAAATGGAACATTTGATAATCACATCTAATATTCCATTCTTCCACTGTGATAAATGAAGTACTATTTTCACTCACTTCATCAAGATTTTAAGATTGTCCAGAGGACAATGGCTTCTCAGCCTTTTGGCTAAGATCAAGGGCAGAGGACATTTGCATATATTCTTAGCTTACTTCCATGTGCAGTTCTGACAAAAGCTGGTTTGACATGATCGGAAAGTAACTCTGGGAAAATATAAAGTCCAAATAACCTAGATTTAGTAAAACCTTTGTGTTCAAATATGATTTTTTGGAATAATTTTAGTGATTATAAGTGATGTTTATTTACTCTGTGCAATAATTTAACTTTCTGCTAGGCCAAAACGTTCTATTTTTCCTTCATTTTTGTTATAGTCTTTCAATGTTTTGCTATGCCTTTACATTTTTAGATTTTTTCAAATGTATAGGAGAATATTAAATGAGAAAAAGGTTGGAGAGTAAAATTTGTGAGAAAATACTAGAGTTGGAGATTTTATTTCAGAGAAAGTATTTTATGCCATATCTTACTTAATAATCATAACCAAGTAGTCCCTTAGGTAAGATTATTCCTATTTTTCGAATGTGCAAAATGAGTCTTAGTAGGATCAGTCAAATCACTTATCCAAAGCTATAAAGGGAGCAAGTGACAGAGTTGGTCTTGGAACCCAAGCGGTCTAACCCATGTTTGTTATGGGTACCACTTAATAGCTAGCTCTGACTTCTGTTATGCTAATTGTTCTTCCGTGTAACTGTTTTTAAAGTTTCCTTGAGCTTTCCATCCTTTAGCATAAAAAGGTACACATTATTAATCAAGCATTATTGCTCATCTCTTGTGTATTTTCTACAACAATATTAATAATTTAGTGTTTTCTTAGGAAGTTGAAAAAAGTTTTATTATGAATATACTTCATTTCAGGGTATTTCTCTTCTCTTTTTCATAATTCACAACAAAATAAAATTCTTTTTGGTATGTATTGTAACGTAATAGCACTGACCCTTCAAACTATAAAACTACAAAGTTGAGATCGAGAAATGGGGACAGAAAAAAACATATAAAGAACCAACTCACAAGTTCTCTTAAAATATTCATTGATCATCTCTCCATTGCTATAATTTGCTTCCATAGGTTTTCCCACAGTTTTCTACTTGGTACTATGTTAAATCTCGTTGGTCACAAAGATATCTCATGCTGATATTATTTGGGAATAATTACTGCTTATTCCAGAATTATGGAAATGTGCTGTCGATGATTTAAAATCTGAACTGTTAGCAAACATTCCATAAATTAAAAAAGATCAGATCGATATGTGTCAGTATAGTTCTAAAAATTCACCATTTTAGGTCTAACATTAAAGAGAGACAACCCAATAACATGAGTCTCCATTACCTCTGCAAGAGTGACTCCTTTTATCTGTGTGCATTCTTCCTGAGGCAGGCGTTGTTTCTTCAAAATGAAGCCCAGATGCTTTCCCTAATCTTGAAGTAGAATCTACTGTTCCTGCAAAGAGTGGCTTCTGCTCATCATCAATGGAGGAGATGAAAGATGAGGATCTACTTTTTTTCTCTTCAAAGTGTTTCTTGGAACTCTGATAATGTCTTATGGTACCTGCAGAATCTTCAGGATCATTTGTACTGTCTTCTTTGCCAAAATCTATCATATAAAAGTGTTTTTTACAACAGCCAATCAAATGTGAGCTTCTATGCACATTATACTTCCTGGCATATAAAACCTTTTGCACCATGGCAACAGTAGCTGCTTAGAGGGAATGTTTTTAAATTACATGGTTAAAATTATCTTTATTAAATAAATTATTAATTTCAAAATTAAAAGAAAATTTGTGATCATAAAATTTAAATTTCAGAGAAGACAATAGGGTAATATAAACTCATTTATACATGCTCAGCTGTCACTTGAATTCTGAGAATTTTGTGCACTCTCTCTTTAGGGAGATAAGAAAGACAAGGAAAAAATGTGTACTAATTCAAAAATATCAACCCTGTGAAGCTTGTTACATTTTTAACCTTCATACCTTTATGTGTAGAAGTCATTCACACATTGCAAAGATCAAAATGGGAAGTCTCCTTGTAATGAAGACTGGAGAACTGAGTTTGCACTTCAGTTCAAAGCATGTAATGGCCTTGACATTCCAGAAAGGTTGGTTTTATAGCATACTGCAAAGAATATAGAGCTAAAATACAGTAATTGAGATAGGTTTTACCTAATTATATTAAAGCCACTAGTGCATATTGAATGTTTTATACTGAAATGACAAGATAATTTCAGCCCTGAAGGTTGTCTTAGAATATATTTTAACAGGAAAAACTCAGAGACAAATTTCAGCACTTGTTTCTGTTAGTGTCCTGTGGAGACAGTATAATTCTCCTTCTGGTTCCTGCTAATAACTAACAACAAAACATTGAGAGGTATATCATTTTCTAGAGAAATGGTGAAGACAGTGTCCCCGTTTACTCTAAGTCTGGGTGTCCTTACTTTATTTATAGAAGGCCAAACGAACTGACTTAAGGTCGCTCCAGAGAAACTTCCAATTGTTTTTAAAAGTTCCCACATGGCATAGAAATTAAACAAAGACTTTCTCCTTTATTGTTTAAATCATAATTTAAAACATGAGAAGCAAGAAAGCAGCCTGAGGTAAAAATGTACAGTTTAAAAATAAGCTTCATCTGAAATTATTATTAAGGAATGTATGTTCTGTCAATTGAAGTGAAATTCAGCAAGTGCAAATTGCTTAATTTATTTTCTTTAAGATTTCCTACCTTCTCAGTGATTTTATCACTATAACAAAATCACAGATCTTTCCATTCTCAAATATCAGTCAACATTGATTACTCACTGTTACTAATACATCCCTATCCAACCACTAATCAGCTATAAATATTCAGATCAGCTCTTCTTACAAGTCATTTTTTTCAGTGTCATTGTAATGAAGCCCTCTTAAGCTACTAAAATTCATTCCTGTTATCTTTCCTCCTATTTTTTTGTCTTCAACTTCTGCCCTCCTCCAAAGACCTCTGAAAATTTGATCAACATTCTCCACTTTTTGAACACTGCATTTCATTCCTCAAAAAGCATTCAACAATTGTATGTTTGTAAATGTGAAAAAATCAAAGAGCTTAATTTTAAAAATTATTCTCATATCTGTTTAGTGAGTTGCGCTGCTTTGCAGCTTTTGAGTAAAACTTTTTGTAGTCTCTGGTTGAACACCAGTGGGATTAGAATCAACTCAGACTTTTCATTATTCTTAAAGTGCTTTTCTTTTGAACATTTTCATGGACGTTTTCCTCAGCAGAATTAAATATAATCTGAATAAACCATTAATTTATATGCCTCCAGTCTAGGTGGGTATAGATAATGTTAACATATTTATTTGCATTGAATACACCTTACAAATTATTATACCATTTTGTCTCTGACATGGGAGGCCTTGGGAGTTCTCTGTAAATTTTGATATCCTGAAATATAGAATGGTCTGTTTAACCTACTGCACTGGCTTCATTATTAGGTAATTAAATTATGCCTGCATTCTGGATTTTTAGGAATAAGATTCATCAGTTAACATATTGTGAGGTTGCACTATAGCTTGCTTGCTTTAGCTTAGGACAAGTATTTACCAAAAGTATTGACTGAGGAAGTACTAATACTTACTTTTTTAGAAAAATGAAGCCAATTACTACATAGGAATGGGACCTAAGTCTTTTAGAAGTTCACAGCAGAAGCAGAAACATAAAATAAGAAAGAGAAGTTGGAATTTCTTGAATATTTCTAATTTGTTCTGAGAAAAACCCGCATTTATTTTTGTATTCCATTAAACCAGGTACTACGTGAACAGTTCTTTTGATGCAGCCCCTCTGAAACAATGTTTTTTTTAAATTCCATACTAGATAAATTAAAGCTTACCTTCCTATCTTATAAAATGGAAGCTGAAATGACAATCTATTTGTGGATTAAAAATAAAAATTGTTCAGGCTTAGTCTGGATGCTGGCAGATGTAAAACCTGAAGTTGGGCAGCTGAAATACATTATAATTACCCTCCAGCTACTTCTAGATTTTGATGGACTGCTCCATTTCTGCCATTTTCTAGTTAAATTGAATTATTTGATAGACATTGAATAGTATTAGGCACTGCTTTTTTTCTTCATGTTATTCTTACTTTGTGTAGAAACAGTATAATTCTAAGGACATAAATCTGAGGGAGTTTTACATTTTTCTCTTTTCCCTGAAGTGAGATTGTATAATCTCTCCTGATACCATGATTTTACAAAGAATAATTTTTACCTATTTAGTGAAGCATCAAATTTACTTTCTGATTCAAATGACAGAAAATCTTGTTTCTGTAGGCTGACAATTCATGCCTTCAATTTTTTCTCAGAGGACATTATTCTACAGCTTTTGTGGTTTGTCTTCTGGTAGTCTCTCTAGGTTCAGAATGAATTCAAGATCATAGAATAAAAGTGCCCCCATGGAGTGATTGACCCATATATTTTAGAAATGATAATACAAAATCCTTCCATTTCAAAGAATCTGGAAACCAGTATTGGTACTTTCTCCATTGTTTATGGAGTCTCTCTCTCAGACTAATTACCATTTTTATTTGTCAGACCCAACAGGGAGGCATAACGTTTGGTCAGAGAGAGGCATTTAATGTGATTTCTTGGCATTTGAGTTTTATATTCCCACTGGTGATACTTTTGACATAAGATGAGCATTTTCCAGTCTAATGCCTTACAAAGACATTTCACTAGAAAGTTGGAAGCTGAAATAAATTTCTTCATTTGCAATCAAGTACTTTGAGTTCTGTATAACTTCAGATGATATTGAAAGAAGATCTAGAAATCACTTTTATATATAAATACAAGATGAAAGTATCTTAAAAACTAAAATAATTTTGATGCATTTAGGAAGACATTGATCAGTGGGATATTGGTACAAGATTCAATTAGGATGAGTTCTAGAGATGGGTTGAAAATCAGGTAGGTTATAGTTAATATATAACGTGCTTGAATTGCTAAGAATAATCTCAAATGTTTTCTCCATACAGAAAAGATAATTGTATGAGGTGATGGATATGTTAACCAGCCTGATTGTGTAATTATTTCAAAATGTATACATCTATCAAAATATCACATTGTGCACTATAAATACATGTGACTTTTATCAACAAAACCTCCATAAAGCTAGAAAAAGGTGAATTTACTGTTATTGGTGAAGATAATCCAAGGAACATCAAAATAGTTATATTCAAAGATTAGAAATGTTCCCTAATCTGTGTGAATAAATTATCAATGCTTACATTTGCCCCTTAAATTACCTTCACAGAAATTATTTTAGTGTGGAGAAACAGCTTCAAAACTTACTTTCAGATGCCAATCACTGGGCATATATTATTGTAATCCTTTGAAAGGAAATATGTAGCAAGTTCAAGATATTCTATTCTGTCCTGGACCATTGGAATTTTTAATGACAAAATGTCAGTCTATCGTCCCTACTATTAGAATTCTGTGTAAAGAGGATGCAGGACACGCTTTTACCTTGATTTCCACACATTTTATTGCCACAAACACATCTTCAACACCATTTTAATTTTTCTTTTTTGTTTAACTACTTATTTTTTTTAATTTTATTTTTCATTTTTGGCGGTTTTCTTGTTCTTTGCAATGAGATTTATTGTTGTGTTCTATTAGCAGAGTGATGGGAGTTTTTGAGTTGCAAGATCTGTTTTCTAGGGTTTCAAAGTCAAGAGAGTAAAAACATTTGATCAGTAAGAAGCCCAGCATTCTTTAACTTTGCGGGCCAACGTGTACATATTTTGCTAAGAACATTTGTTTTCTTTGCGATATAATTTTTTTCAAGTGATGTTTAATTGAGACTAATTATCTGCTTTGTTCTTCAGTTTTATGTTTTTAAGAAAGGAAATGGAGAAAAAATGCAGGGAGAGAACACTGGGAAGAAGGTTAAGATAACTGCAAAGTCTGATGGAGAATGGGAGGCAAATCGATCAACACAAAACCTGTTTTTTGGGGGAGACACTGTATTCTCTGTCCCACGATTTCCCTGTGATAATCAGGGGACTTCTATGCTTTAGTTTAAACAATTGTAGGAGCGGATTTTCTCTTAAAATTTAAAATAGCAACAGGAATTGCATATCATGATTTTTAATAATGTTGGTGGCCTTTCAAAACACTAAAACCAATTAAAGAGTCCTTTCTTTTAAATTCTCGTCTTTTCTGTAGACTACTTGGTACAAAAGTAAATATAAATTTTGCAAAATTCTGTAGAAATTTTTATTTTCCGACTAAATTATGAGGACTATATAATGAAAAGCTAAAAATGTAGACACATAGACAATAACTACAACTCGGAATTTCTGTTTGTTTCTTTGATAATGAAAAATCTCTAGAATGTAGAGACAGTTTTTTGAAAAAATAGAAATAGAAACAAGATGAGACAAAAGGAGAAAGATGAAAAATATAGGAGCACTCAGCATGCACTCAATCATTTCTTGCCAAACAAATGTGTGATTGGCTTGGGGCTGTTACAGTGATATCATCATGGGCTACTCTCTGTCACATAGTCACAGGTACCCTGATCAGTCATTAGAAATACTGTAATACTGTACTTTCTATTGGTGGAAAGAGTTGAGCCTAACAGTCCAAATATTTGGTCATATAAGCCACATCATTAAAAAAAAGTACGTGTGTATATACATGAATGTATAGTGGTATATTTCACACACTAATATATACAAAACAAACCTATGTATTATATTTTAATATATATGTATATATATTATCTTCAGTGGCATTATGTAGTCTAATTTTATTGTATATTATACAATATACCAACACATCATTTAAAAATAAAAATTATTTCCATGATACAATGAATCATTTTAGCAACTTGGATAAACTCTGAAGACTACTTAAGTAAGCTATTTGGAGCATTTTCCTCTTTACTTCTTTTCTGCTCACACATTTTAACAATGTCTGTGGCCACTGATGAGATCACAAATACATGATTTCTGTTCTTTATTTTCTCTGCCAATAGAATGTAGCACTTGTTCTTACAATGCCCTTAGGCACACAAGAAAGATCTTAGGTTCTTCCATGCCAGAAATTTAAAAAGGAAAGAGAGCTAACCAAATCCTCATAATTGTACTTGAGCTGATAATTCTGTCTTGTAGGGAAGTAGATTTATTTCCTTAGAAGTGAAGATAAGGATAACTCACCTTCATCAACAAATTAATTATGCTAAAGCCAACTTGCAAGAGGTTCTACACATTTTTTTCTTTTAAAATTCACTGCTAGGATGTGAATTCCTTAGTACCATGTGGTAGGCATAACTGGAAATGGGTGTAGGTGAGGACTGAAGCTAGAAGTCCAGTCTCCTGGAGGTAACCTCCTGAGGGGCAACCAAGGGCTCAACCTCTTCCCACCTCCATGCTCTGTGATCTTCCCTCAGGTTCCTGACACCTTTGTGATTGGTTTCACAGTCATCATTGCTCTTGGGATTCTGCCTTCCAGGTTGTGTTTTATGTGGGCATGAAAACAGCACTAAACTAATCAGGGTATTGCACAGGCCTCTTTTAGTTTATGCACCCACATGCAAGTTAGCATTAGCAAATCCTCTGAAAGCTCTCTTCTCTGTATACATACTTTTGTGAATGTTTTTCACCTAGATGCTGATTCTGTATCAAGAAGTATATTTGGCAAATTTTACACTTGCCTGCAGTTCCCTGGAATTCTAAGAAATTTAGAACAGGCTCTTAAACTCTGGATAACCAGAGTTAATTATGTTTCACACTGTCCAACTTGTGGTAACTCATTGACAGTCAAATATCTTGCTATTTGCACTTTATATACAAAATGGGTTTCATAGACTAAGCCTGTGATTAAAGGGGAAATTTTCAAAATCAGTAGAAATGTCTTACTGAATGAATATGATATAAATTGTGACATTTTTCAGGGTCTTATCAAGAGGTGAAAACGTTAAATTGGTTCCTTAAGAGTGAGAAAATTGAACAAGATTGAAGGCAGATTTAATAAATCTTCAAATGTATAGAGCACTTTATTATATAATTAGATAGCATTGAAGCTGTTCTTCATTTCCTGTGAGATACAACAAGAGATTAAATTTGGGATAAGGGATTTAGCTTAGCTCCATGGAAAAACAGCTTGAGAGTAGTAGCTCTGATTTTAGAAAAAGTCACTGAGAAAAAAAGAAGGTCATTGTTTTAAAATATTATTATCTATGAATGTTTTATTACTTTGCAATTGACCAAATAATTGAATCATTGGCCCAATTGAACAGATGTTTATCAAAATTCTAATGCCAATTATGTCACTGTACAGAGCAGACTTGGATAATATCATAAAAGAGAAAGTACTTTCCAAATTTAAACATTTGAGAAAAATAAAGAAACAGGTGACCTTTGAAGATTGATCTTGATTAAAAAAATCTAATTTAGTGTGTGTTTAAGAACAGTGGGAATAAATTCAATTAAAGGAATTGTATAATAAAATATGAGGAAAATGTACATGGACAAGAGGGTACTTTAGTTCCTTTGATATGTGGTGCAAGCTAAGGCTAGTATACAATATCTCCTAGGGAAAGGATTCCAAGAGGAGAGAAGAGAATTAAGAAAAGCACTTGAATTAAGAAGGCCAAGGGAGGAAAAGAATCAAAAGGAAGATGCTTAGTTCTATCTTAATCATTCTTTCAACTGATGTTTTGGAGTACCTGCTATGCCACAAGAACTGAAGCTATGAGGAACCAAAAATTTCCCTCATCTATGATACTTACAATCTGAAATCAGGCAACATTTATTAAATGATAATGCAAATAAACCTATAAGTGTGATTGTAATAGATGCTGCAGAAGAGATGAACTTATAAGGGCAGGGTGGTATAAGACTGAAAAGTTAGTTAGAAACCAATCTTATTCAAGATATGAGGACAGAAAGTCTTCAGAATGCTTTGAATATATGGCTGCCATAAATGTGATCATTTAGGAAAAAATCTCTAGTGATCCAATGTGCAGCATAGATGAGGAGATGTAGGTTGTGCATGAGAAGGTGAGTTATAAAGGTATTTCTCCATTCAAGGGGGGTAGTTTATGGTAGCTTGGTCTAAGGTTATTGGCAATGGAGATGGAGAAATGTGAACCAAAAGAAGACCTAGTTGGAAGACTAAATAAGATATTGGAGGTAGCAATAACAAGACTTGTTGCTAGAGTGGCTACCGTGGGTGAGAGAGGGTTGCCTCCTAGATATCCCATTTGTACAATTGATTCAGTGGTAGCACTATTTGCAGAGACATCCGTATCGAAGGGTGACGTGTTTCCTCGAACCTTTATGAATTCAATTTGGGAAACATTGAGTTTCGGTTCCCTTGAGATTTCAAGTACATGCTTCAACAGGAAGCTAAGGTATATGTGATTGAATTTCAGGTAGTATGTCATTAAGATGTAAATATGTATGCCTGCTATGTGAGAATATCATCAAATGATAGATATAAATGAGAACAGTGTGATATACAATGAGAAGACAAAAAGACCTAAAACATGTGTTAAGAAACTAAAACAATTAATGAACTGGATTAGAAGAAAATAATCCTGAAATTGTCTTCAATGAATTAGGGAGGACAAGGAAAACAGGAAGAATGAAGTGCTGGCTGCAGATGCCAAGAATATTCATGAAAAAAAGGCAGAAACTGACTCATCGTATCAGATGCTGCTTTGAGACCAAGTAAAGAAGTATACAACTAGAACTAGAATGTGAGTTCAGTATGGGGCAAGAGAATAGGTCTATTCATGAAGGTCTTATCGGCCCAGCCACACTTAAACATATTCCCATCTGGGTGCCCATTGGGATGTGGACTTTTTCCTGTTACAGAATCCATGATTTAAAGGCTGATTTGCATTTTTATCCATGCCATACACATGCAAGTGGGGCATGTGAAGGTGATTGAGCTCCTGACCTGCAACGGGAGTCCTCTTTCCGTAACATTCTGTTCAGAACTCTAAGACATGGTCATTCAGCTATGCTTAATTGGCTTCCATTTTTTAACCAGTCTACTTTATTTCTTTATCTGTGAAGTCTTTGTAAATCCAATGGGTTTGTTGCATTACATTATTGAGAACTATCACTCAAATACCAGAAAATCATTAGCTAGTTTACAAAGGAAAGAAGTCACCCTCTTAAAGCCTAAATGAAATGTACTCTTGAAATCAGAACTATAATGAGAATTTTATTCAGAAGATGTAAAAGCCACATGCACCAGATTTAAACTTTAGAAGAAGAATGAATTACCTTTGTCTCCTTCACTTTCAAAGGACAGTCTCCTCCTTCGTAGTTTACAGTCATCTCCTTCGGAATCGTTCACGGATTGTGATCGTAGTAAGAGATCAGACTTTGTTAATGGATCATGAAGATAAAATAGAAGGTTACTCAACCACACCATAATGAACTGTTAACACTCTTTGCTATTTCATATCACTTCACCCACTTTGAGCCATAATTATTAGATTGCAGGCAAATAGTTACAATACTTTGCCTAATGGTTGTCTCTAAAGTATAAAATGGACTGATGAAACAATAATTGAAGTTATTTATTAGAAATATTTGAGAATGATGTCAGTATTTAGAAACAAAACATTCCTTTTTGTTGATTGTATTTTATGTAACTTGGTAAAATTAAAACAAAGATAACAATAATTTAAAACTTTACAGGATGTATCACTGCAGATAAAAATGTATAAGCTAATTATAATTAACTATGATGTTTAAATTACATGATAATGATCACAAGGTTAAATTTCATAGGACTAAGTATAAAATTGTCAAATTCAGTGAACATTATGTTTAGAGCCCTTTATTATATTTGTCCCCACCTCCTTCTCCCACTCTGGTTCACTCTGTACAGTACCCATTTTGTAAATAAGAAGGAAAGTTCTTGTTTTATTCCTGTACTGGGGAATTTTTAAATAAAGAGATGACCTGAGGTAGATATTTGCTAGTTTACAAGGTAAAATTAGAATAAAGCTGGTGATATTTGATTGGGATTGTGAGAAAGTACTGAATTAAAACCACTGTAAAAATATATGCTCTAACTAAGCTTTTATCACATAAATAATTTTTTTAGCTTTTCAGTGTTTGGAAAAAGGTACTTAGCTGAAATGGTACATCTGTACCTTGAATGGCATCCTGGTGACCTTAAAAGCTGCTATTTCTCTTTCAGGCTCTCAGAGTGACTGAGAATGATTAACTTTAAGAAGTAAATTTACATTTTATGTGGATACGACCTAAGGGTCCTTTTTGCAGATAATACATTAGTCAGCATGTACACACACTGAAAAGTATTAAGTGCCCAGTATTTGATTTATGATTTTAAGAAAATTATTCAGAACTAGAGAGGGCTTGAGGTTTGGGGGAGAAAGGCTTACAGGAGGAAAAACCTGTTAATAAATTGTAGGCTACCACCTCAGTCTTACATCCATAGTATAGTAGTGGTTCACAAAGACCAAATGGCAATGGAAGAAAGTCAGGAACATGAGAGTTACACTCTCAAACTTCATTCTCAGTTAACTAGTGCATAGAGTTCTTTAAAATATTATTTCTCTTAGACCATACACTATTCATTTTGCAGCATTAATTTTGATTCTACTGTGAAATTATTTTTGATTTAGAAATTGGTTTAATTATGGACCTGTGTTTGAATGAGGTTAATCTTCATTATTATTGAAAAGTCAGTGGTATAAATAATAGTTGAGAGGATATTTTATCTTTTGTGGAAGATAAACTTTTAAAACCCTAAAGCTGTCTATTTCTTACAAATAATTGGCACAATAAGCAGCAAACTATTTAACGCAAATATTTCACCTGTTTCCAAAAGTTTAAACTTGATTAACATGATTAAAATGGTTCAACATATTTAAAAGTACGTAGGTTGAATTTCTTCTCTATGATTTAAAGTATCCAGCTGTCCTTTCCTCTTCTATATTTAGAATTTAGTGAGTTATGCTGCAACATTTTGCTTGTTTTTTTCAGAAGTATTTGTGCAATTCAAGAATAAAATAAAATGTTGGAGGTACAAAAATAAGCAAACATTTAACATATACCTTTGCACTTTCATGCCTTAGGTTGAAAGTCAACTCTAGGTTTGTTAGAAAGTGATCAGAAAACTCTGGATACATATCCAAGACTTCTAGCAAGTCTTCCCGCTGAATCTTATGCAAGTCACAATATGTGAGAGCTCTTACATCTGCATTAGACTTGCCAGGTTTGGCATACAGATGAACCATTTCTCCAAATATATCATTTTTTCCTAGAGAAAAGCAAAAGGAAAGAAAAGGATTAATATTTCTTTAATATTTAATTTTTAATATTTCTTCTCACTATTTTTGAAAGCAGGAAGAGACCACTGGCCAATTGACAAATTCTTGAATCAAAGGTTACAAATTCCAATAGATATCTGGGAGCAAATTTGATGAGTCTGAACCGTCTCCCTCAGTCCACATTTGCCGAATGCAATTTTGACCCCAAAGGTCACTGATCCTACAAAATCGCTTTCATTTGCTTGTTGTGAGTCTTTGGCTAAGAGACTAGAATGTAGCAATTAAGTTTTCACTCTAATACAACCTCCATCGCTAGCAAAAGACCTTGCCATAAAGTATTTTAAAGATACTTCCAGGTAGATTTGCTCTGATTTTGTTGATCCAGGAATGTGACAGAGGCACAGTGTGTCAGATTCAAATTTGTTCTCAGGATAATCTCTGGAGGTGATGCCAAGAAAGAGCTTATGGTAAAGCTCTTTCAACACTTAGAGGCTTGGAGGAAAAATTTGAACAGATCTTGTTTCTCTTAATAACCATTTTTAGATTTGCCCTTAATGAATCTGCCCAAGTGTTTAAAATATCTAGCTATATTTCTTCAACAGATGTAGACATGCCTTTTGTCACACGGTCCTTGCGTTGAAAGTTTGACCACCCTGTTTTCTGTAAAACCCAGGGATATTTCAGCATCTGGTTTCTCCTCAGCCCACCCCATCACCTCTGCTGAGCCATACCACCTGATTTTCAGTCTTGTGGAATAATAAGGGTAAGAATGACAGCAATGATAACATTATTTTTGAGGACTTAAGTGACAGGCATTGTATCAAATACTTAGGCATATTATTTCATTTTTATCCTCCAAATGACTTCGTGAAGAAATTATTATTCACATTTTATTAATACTGAAAGAGGATTAAAGAGGTAAACTGATTAGGCCAAGGTCACCTTCTTAGTTGGGTGAAGGAAGGGAGGGAGAGCGTAGTCAGAATTAAATCCCATGCTCTATGATTCCAGAGCTAATGTTCTCACATATGTGATCTACGGAATCTCCTTTTAATATATTCCCTGAATATCTTGGACATTTTTCTGTAACTCAACATCAAGATACTTATGTGATATACGGACTTAATAAATTACTTGATTATATTACTTTTAAAGATCCTTAATGATGTAAATAGCGTTGCTTATATTTGTTCTGAAGCTTCTTTTCAGATTTAGGACATTTTTCCTGCTCATGTTATTTTACTTTTTGTCAGATAAACTCATATATACCCATTGTGAGGACTACCAAAGTCTTTGAAACGATGAATTCTATATCTTAACTATGTAAGGAAAATAGGCATTGAAGGTCAGGCATGCAGGGAAGCGTGCTCCTCCCAGCAGCATACCAGCATAAACTGCCAAAGCCAAATCTTGTGAAAACTACTTTATTGTGTGGCCTTGAAATATTTTAGAATATGTTTTTATTGTTTATCCACTTATTAGCTTGGAAGCCAAATTATATACTTTACTAATCTGAGAAAAAAAAATTTTTTTTTGTTGTTGTTTTGAGCCAGGGTCTCACTGTATAGTTGAGACTGACTTAGAACTCACTATGTAGCCCAGACTGGTTTCAAACTCACAGCGATCCTCCTGCCTCAGCCTCCCGAGTGCTGGGATATCAGGCGTGCATCCCCACGCCCGGCCCTGAGAAAAAAATTTAAAAAATGATAATCATAATAAACTTTCAAACTGGATAGGGAATTTCTCAAATGTTTTCATTTGTGTATTAAGGTCCTCTGCTAGGCCATACCCTGGTCCTGCACAATAGCAGAGGAAACGAAACACAATCCTGTGTGACTGGAGCTAACATCAAGTGAAGTGGAAGGAAATGGCTGTATTTGGTGCTCATTATTGAAATGAAGCTGGAAAAACCTAGGGAGATTCACAGATACTGGCAGCAGATGTTAGAATAGGGACAGTGGGGCTTTCAAGTCCTTGTTAGGTTGTAGGAGAGGAGAACAGACCTGGCTTGTTTTGGCTCCTTCTTGTGTTCCTCTGTCTTAATAGTCTAAGAAGTCCTACAGTGTCAAGTGACCCACATTTATTTTTGAACAGCTAAAACAGATTAAACCTGGGCTTTCTTTTGCACTTTGACCAGTTTTTTACTAATTTTAGTTTTGTCACTGCCTTTATCCCTGATGTTATGTCCATAGCTTCCAATGACTTAGAGATAAACTCACAATTCCATTTGTATAATCATAGAGTGAATATGTGAAATTCACTAAACACGAGCTCAGTTCATGACAGACCAATGGCATGTGCTAGCAAGTATATCTACAACGTTTATATTTTATTTTAAGATGGTAAGGGATCAACCACAAAGCCAAGATTGTCTACAATGAGAAGAAAATGAAGACTATTTTCATATATTTGGCCTCCAATGTCTAAGTAGCTGTCAAGAATTGAAGAGAATCATGGAAGCATTTACTCACTGGAGAAAAACTGAGACAGTCGAGAAAACATTTTCTTCAAGGTTGATTTGATTTGAATGGAATTTTAAATACAGTTTTTGCGTTACCCACTGGTATTAAAATCCACGTTTGATCTATCATTTAAAATTACATAGTGCTACAGCTACTAATGGCTATAGCTAATAATTGAATTTGTCACCATCCAGTTCTGAAACACTCACCCAGAATAGCTACCACTATGTCATCTTTGAGGATTTCAATGGAGCCCCGCGATAAGAAATACAGCGCGGTTAGGACATCACCGCAATGAACAAGGGTGTCTCCTGGAGGCGCATGCGTCGTCTTGAACTTCATTGCCAGGGCTCTAAGGCAACCTTTACTTGCCCCTCGAAAGGCTTTGCAGTTTTGCAGCAAAGTTTGGTTGAGATGTAGACAAATGTCAGCTTGTAAGCATTCTGGGAAACCCTTTAGGACCTGAATGAGAAAGATAAAGAGTTTCATACTACCGGCGCACTACGTACTTCAACCTGATATAAAGTCTATTTCTTGCTCACAGAACTGCAGGTGTAGTAATTGTCACCAGGAGTTTTCACAATGTTTCTACCTTGCCTACTTTAATGAATACTTGGTTTGCTAAACATGTCAGAATTTTTAACTCAAATACTTGTTCTCTGAATTAACTGCAGATATTCAGACTCCACACAGTGCTGTCTCGTTAAAATGTTGTGTCTACAACTTTTCACATTGCTTTTCTTTTCCCTGAATTATGTTATGCTGCATCATACTGTGCACAGTTAATAAGACATAACTAATGAAAGGCAGTACGACTAGAAAGATAATCAACCTTTTGATGGAATGTCAAGTCCATTTAGATTGCCATTTCTGGTATAGATCTTAGTCATAATTAGTAAAAAATGTTGATCTTGAAGTAGCCATGGAATTTGTAAATGTCATATATCAGGGAGTGCTCTTAGCTCACAATATTTGCACTATTTATGCTTCTCTATATGCATTATTAAAACTAAATATTTTGATAGGCACTGAAAATAGAGAAAAGAGAGAACAGTAAGCATATTTTAAAAGTATACTTTAATTTTCAGAAATAGAAATTGTGCCAGAATTTACAGTGTGTACACAACCTCCCAAAGTGCTATGGTTTTGACAGCCTATTTAGTGGTTAATTTAAAATTTGTGAAGTCGGTTAAATAATAGCTTATGACATTTGGTATTTAATTTGAATTAAATAAAACTTTATGATACATTTGTAAATTCCCAGTATATGGAATGGATCAAAGACACTCAACTTGCACTTCTCTGTGTCTTGCTACTTTGTGTGTCATACATAGGTTTTACTTGGATCTCTGATTTCCCCTGACTATATAAATAATATGCTTTGGGATGCAGTACAACTATAGTGCAATAATGAAATTTTGGTATTTTATTGTTTTAACTCAATCTTGGTGTGCCTTTCAATATACCTAAAATAATTTTGAATTGTTCTAGGGGAATTCAAATATATTTGGCCCAGAAAGGAACTTCAAATTAAATCATATTTTAGTGTACTTATAATTATTAATATTTTAGACATTAAAACAGCTACAGGGATCCTCCTTTTGGACCACTATGTGATGTTAGTAGTCAGACTGTGATAAACTATGAAGGGATCGTATGAGACAGGAATTTCAACAGACGTAATTGTGTGGTCTTCTTCATTGTATAAGATCACGTGCAGAAGTGGGCAGAGGGTATTTTAGAAGGCAATTCATGGGACTAAGTTCTGGGAGTGAATTTGTCACCAGTTGACTCTTGTGCAAGTCACTTTACTCCTTTGTGGTTTTCTAATGTAGAATAAGACCCTTAATAATACTGAACTTAGCCACATATTACCAATAAATAAGGTGCCAGCTGTCAGACACTGTTCACCCAGCTCCATGCTGCTTACACTTTCATCCTGAGGACAAAATCACCTGCCTCAGGTCCAAAAGGAAGGAGCTTTCCTCTGATATGAGTCCCTGAGCACTCATGAGCAAAGTCTCCCTTTACCTTTGGCTTTCAGGATTGGCCTATAGGACTGGACTTTGCCCTTTTTCTTGTTTGGACTGAAGACCTCCCTAACATAATTTGTCTTGTCATTGTTTTCATTTCTGAAGTGGGACCTCTCTTCTCACTTTTTGATAGTCTCTTATATCAGTGCAACTTCTCTCCAGGAACCAATTGTCTGTGCCATTGATTCCTTCTACTACCTAAACAGTCACGTTGGATTCTTTGGCAAGTGGTGCCAGACTGAAGCAGAGCTAAGTTTAGATCCTGTTTTATGAAATGGCAGCCACTTAATTTGAGATTTATCTAGGACAAAAATACCTCAGCCTTTTGGCCTTTATTTCACTTATTTCTCTCTGAGGCCAACTCTTGCAGTCTCAGCAAAACTCATAAATTATCTCATGCAGATAATGGATAGAACATCACAACATGTAACAAATTGGGTATGTGTATCTTTGTTTTAAGATATAGGTTGTCAGATGTGGTGGTGCACATCTGTAATCCCAGCACTCAGGAGGCTGAGGCAGCAGGTTTGCTGTGAGTTCAAGGCCAGCCTGGGCTACATAGTGAGACCCTGTCTCAAGGAAAGGAAAGGAAAGGCAAAGAAAGGAAAGGAAAGGAGAGGAAAGGAAAGGAAAAAGGCATAGGTATATGCTGTAATAAGGTATTAGAAAGCATTTCATACTTCACAGAAATGGGGTATATAATTGTGACTGTAAAACTGGAATGAGAATACTGAGCTTATAATTTCAATTCCAGGCATTTTCCCTGAAATCTTCCTGAGTGAGCCTGGTAACACAACCAAAGTCTAAAAAATTGCGTGTGTGCACGTGTGTGTTTGCCTTGAGTTGAAAGGCAGAGATGAGATGGATATGGGGGTCTGCACTGCTTTGAGTAGATGCTATGAGCTATGCAGTTAGACAGCTATGAGCTAAAGTTCTACTGAAGCAATTTAACTAATTGTGAGATTGTACACAATATTTAACTTAGAGATTCAATTTCACTTTTTAGAATTAAATTAATAAAATCAATTTCACAGTGTTGGGGCCATGACTACATGTGATAAAGTATGTAAATCATCCTGTGTACAGTGGATAATGCAATAGAGAACTTATCTCTGACTTCATAGTTTTTGTTACACATACTCAGAGTTCCCGTAGAACTGGTGTGTTCACTTTTTCAGGAAATTGATAGATAACTTACTGTGTTTTCACTTTGGTGTGCCTGATAGGAAAATTTCCATTTATTTTTATGTTTTATTACTTCAGCAAAATTTAAATACTTTGTGCTCCATGTGTGATCAGTTTCAGAATTCTTTTTCCTTGCATATCTGTGTTCTTCTTTTCTATCTCTGGCTTCCTAAATATTCTGGCTTACTTGCACTGAGCTTTTCCTCGTAGTTGCCTTAAATCCTTTTTGAAAGTAAGCAGTTGATAAAATAAATTTATAAATGTGTTCTTAGAATTCCAGCAGCCTTGGAGTCACCCACAACACTTTATGGCTACTGGGGAAATTATTTTTTCCTCGTGAAATTTCTTTTGTCCTTGACATTTATCCTATTAGAAATGACATCCATTGAGAAAGATTGCATAAAGTTGGAGGTGCAGTAGAGCTTTTGTTTTCACAGGAAGAGGTTCCAGAGAGCTTAGTATAAACTTGTCTACATTAAGGAATTCTTGTGTGGTGTTAGCCCTGAACTTTCTTAATTTGGTCACATCAGCCACTCAAGTAAAACTCAGTGAGAGTTTTGATGTCTCAAGTAAATCCATAACCTGAATTATGGTTCAGTAAAGATACTACGGAGAGTTAAAACAAAGATGCAGTGGAATAGATGCAGAAATACATTGAAACAAGTGAGAAGTAAGAGATAGTTTTACGTAGATATTTACCCAGAATCAGTCATACAGCTTGTAGCTTGGAAAGCCAGTTCTGACTCATTTAACAAATATTTGTGTAATGTTTACTGCATGTCAGACACTAGGGCTTGGAGCATCGGTATGAATAAAACATGTTCTGAAAACACATCATTCCTTAAAACTTTCTTACAAACATCCAGACTAAAACAACCTTTTACAAAGGTGACAGAATTTCTTATACTTCATTCCTCATGTCAAATTCAGACATTTATAATTTATACTATTAATGGCTCTTCAATGAACCCTCAAAAAATAGTTAATTGAAGATGAATGAAAAGCCCTGATTTTATTTTTTGAAGACTGGCTGGCATCAAGGAAATTTTTTAAACTTTTTGAAGTTCTGGAAAACTTTTTTTTAAGGTTGGCAGAAGTCTCATATCTCTATTTTGATATAAAGTTACCTGAATAATTTATAAATGCAAGAGTAATTTCCCTTTACTTGAATTTATGTGAATAAGGCTCTTTGGGTGCTCAAAATCAAATTATGACTTGCAAATTAGAATCTGTTCATTTAAATAAGTATGAAATGCTATCTGTGATTGTTACAAGAAATAAATTTCATAGTTTAGTACTAGAGGACTCAAAACTTAACAGACATTTGAATATAAACAACCCAAGATAGCATTATTAAATCAAATAAAACTCATTAAAGAAATCACACAAGGCAAATAGAGAAAAATTCTTACACAATAAACATATATCAAACATAACCAATTACAACTTTAGAAGTATTAAACTTCATTCTAAACTCTCCTAAGAAATACATAAGGTGTGACAAAAATACAGCGAATGTTAAATTATTTAAAAATTTACTAGAGTAAAAGATACATTACCATTAATCTCTCTCAAAATATGTAATTTCCCTCCCTTTGAACACCTTTAGCTCATCGTTCTTGTCACTTCCGGAAGCAGGTCTGGAAGTCTTCTTTTGTGTCTTTAGTTATGCTGTAGGAGCTTGATGTCCTGAATCGAATCAAAATGTTTACTTTTTATAATCATTTTGACTTTGGGGAAGAGCCAGAAGTTGCACAATGACAGATCAGGTAAATAAGGCAGATGACACAGAGTCATGTTTTTATGTGCCCACTTTTCTGTTCAGTGTCAGTCAGCAGGAGCATTCCCTGTATTTTTGGTAACACAGTGGAAAGATGCTCACATAAGACTTCCGGAACTGCTTCAAAAACTGGCAAGAACAGTGGGATAAATGTGTTTGTTTTAAGGGGAGTATTTTAAGGGGGATTAATGGCATTGTGTCTCTCTTGCTGTAGTAAAAGCTTTTAATTTTTTATTTAAAAATTCAGCATATTTTTGTATTTTAATCACACTGTATATATGCTGACACATAATCAAATTGCAGTATTGTTAATATTTGCAATTATGTAGTATATGAATTCACATTTTCTCTATAATAATAACGAATGGCTGCTGAAGTTAATATAAGTTAATATAAACAGTAAATATTTGATTAGATATGTCCCATTAACTTTTAAATAAATTAACTCAATGTAAACTTTTAAT